GATTCCAGTCTGAGTCTACCAGACACCAAGATCCCCCAGTACCAGAGGGCTGCTGCAGGTAATACTACATTAAATTACTGTAAAATCCTGCAGTACCAGAGAGCTAGTGATTGTAATGCTGAGGTTCGTTCTGGACCTGAACCTTCGTCTGGTTTTGTCTTTTACAATCAGCACAGTAATTGGTTTAAAGAGACGTGACATTTCATATTCATTGAATAAACAGTTTTCACACACGTGTCTGTTCCATGTGTTTAGACAGCGTGATGGCGTTGCTACGGGAACTGGGACGTGGTTACCAGGCGCTGTGTTCATACAACTGCAGGGAGGCCATTCACATCCTGACCTCGCTGCCTCCCCAGCACTACAACACTGGCTGGGTCCTCACTCACATCGGCAGGGCCTACTTTGAACTGGCCGAGTACACGCAGGTAACTCACACAGCTGGCACTCAGGTGTTTTTTGTCCAGGTGTTCTGTGTTTTGTGCTCATGTGAGTGCACCTGTCCCACAGTGATACTGATGTGTGTTTGTAGGCGGAGCGTCTGTTCAGTGAAGTGCGTAGGATCGAGTCATACAGAGTCGAAGGGATGGAGATTTATTCCACCACTCTGTGGCACCTGCAGAAAGACGTGGCGCTGTCCGCCCTGTCCAAAGACCTGACCGACATGGACAAGAACTGTCCTGAGGTGAGAAACACACTTGTCCTGACGATGCTCAAGTGAGGTAACCATGTGACACTAATATGGATGTGTGAACTATGATTCTATGAATGTGTGTGTCTCTGCAGGCCTGGTGTGTAGCAGGAAACTGTTTCAGTCTGCAGAGGGAACACGACATCGCCATCAAGTTCTTCCAGAGAGCCATCCAGGTGAGTCTGTTACTCTCGTTGCCATGGTTGCCTTCAGGTAGGACATGTCACAATAATCTGTGAAGTGCAGGAATAGACGGTGCAGATTAGTCTGGCAGTTCTGCCTGTTCAGGAGTCAAACTGTTTATCCTGTGTCTTTCTCTGTAACTAACTTGTACCTTTCTGTCTCCCAGGTGGACCCGGGTTTTGCGTATGCGTACACTCTTTTGGGTCATGAGTTTGTTCTGACTGAGGAGTTGGACCGGGCCCTTGCCTGCTTCCGAAACGCCATCAGAGTCAACAACAGACACTACAACGCATGGTATGGTAACCGCAGCCTTGTCTGACTGCACCTTACCTATGCAGCATATACATAACGTGCACGACACAAATACTTTCAGTAACACACACACAAACACTGTATCACCTCAAAGTAATCGGATTACTTCGAAGTCAGACAGCAGAGTATTTCCTCTGAACAATAAATGCCTACCGAAGGCCACTGCTTCAGATTTGGCACAGGGTTTATCAATGGAAGTCAGAGTTTCTATGAAGCTCAGACAGTGTGAAGGACACCTCAGAACATCAGCCTCTATGGACGGAGGACAAGAACAATACATCCAGATGAAAGTTTGCTGAAGAACATGAAAAGATGAATGTTAGGGGGTAGATTCTTTGGTCAGATGAGGCCAAGATAAACTTGTTGGGCTCAGAGAGAGTCCAGCATGTTTGGTGTGAACCTGACCAGGACCCCCACAGTGAATATAGTCCTGACAGTGAAGCACAGAGGTGGCAGTGTGATCTGAGGCTGCAGGAGTGCAAAAGTGTTGGAGAGATGATATTTGTAGATGCACCATGAATGTCTGTGGATAAACCAAAACACTGGCTGACATTATGACTCTCAGTCTGCAGAAGCTTGGAGAAGAACAATATTCCAGCATGAGAACCATTCAAAGAAGAAAATAACACAAGAGGTTCTTTGTTGCGTAGTTCCTACTGTGGAGCCCGAATTTTGATTATAGGAAATCTAAACTGCTAAAACATTTCACTCCACGTGAGTCTAGAGTATGTCAAATTTTCACTTTTTTTAAATAGCTGGTTAAAAATCATTTTTAAATATAACTTTGAATAACAACTTTTAAATAATATTCTAATTTGTAGAGCTGCACTAGTGTTTATATACACACACCATTGAAATGGTGATGACACAGGAAATGAAGTTAACAGCCACATGGATCTACATTCAGTCCTTAGTTCAGTGTGTTTTTGTGTTTGTGTGTTCAGGTATGGTCTGGGGATGATTTACTACAAACAGGAGAAGTTCAACTTGGCAGAAATCCACTTCAAGAAAGCTCTGAGCATCAACCCTCAGAGCTCTGTGCTGCTCTGTCACATCGGAGTGGTATGTTGGCATTGTTCTTTGGTGACTCATGCTCTTTTAGCTTGTAGCTTACCCATCCACAGGAGGTAATCTGTTAGCATCAGCGGTCAGAGCTCTGTGCTGCTCTTTCACCTACGAGAAGTATGTTTGCTTGCAGGTTTTTCCGTTAACCCTCCAAACCCCAAAACCTTTCTGTGGGTTTTACATGCATGTTGTGTTCACACAGTGAGGAAAATGTGACCGTAACAAACAAGCGCAACAAATTTAAAAACTGCTTGGAGTTCAGAGGGTAAATGTCACGAAGACAAGGAGCATTAATCCTGCTATAGAACAACAGTAACTGATGTGTGTGTGTTTGTAGGTGCAACATGCTTTGAAGAAGTCTGACGCAGCTTTAGAGACTCTAAACAGAGCGATCGGGATCGACCCCAAAAATCCACTCTGCAAGTTCCACCGAGCATCTATATTGTTCGCCAATGACAAGTACAAGGTAATCAGTTCTGATTAATACATCCATACTGTTGTCCAGCAACAATTATCAGGTAATCAGTACTATGTATATGCAAATACAAAAACTGTTAGGAGTACATCAGTGCTCATTCATCCATCACTGTGACAACCTCTCTTTTTGACCTGTCTGGTTCTGACCTGTTTCTCTAACATGTGTCTCTGACCTGTGTCTCTGCAGGCGGCTCTTCAGGAGTTGGAGGAGTTAAAGCAGATTGTTCCCAAAGAGTCTCTGGTTTACTTCCTCATAGGAAAGGTGAGACACTGACAGGCAGAGTTTAGTCTGTCATGTACAGGTGAGATTACAGGTGTAAATGACATTAGGTAGAGTTTGCCTTCTGATCAGAGTCTCTGGAGTTTCAGTCACTGTCGGGGTGTGAACGTCTCACAGCTGTAAACCCACATGTGGTTGACTGCATGTGAACTCCAGTTCAGGTTAACTGTGGTGCTGCTGAAGGACATGACAGATCATAACATGTCCTTCCTTTGTCTCAGGTGTATAAAAAGTTGGGTCAGACTCATCTGGCCCTGATGAACTTTAGCTGGGCAATGGATCTGGATCCTAAAGGAGCAAACAACCAGATCAAAGAAGCCATCGACAAGAGATACCTGCCGGAGGACGAAGGTATGCCTTCAGACTGGTCGATCAGAGTCGATGATATCAGAGATCAGTCAGGCCACTACATCATCTATTTTTATTGACACCTGCTGGTCATCTGACTTACTCCTGTCTGACACTTGTCTCACTTTTACTGTCTCCATCGGTCTCACTGTCTGACTGTTTCCACCTGCCTTGCTTTCACAGCTGCAGAGGTGGACGACAGTCAGGACAGCAGCATCATGACGGACGCTGATGACACGCAGCTGCACACGGCTGAGAGCGACGACGTTCTTTAACCCCGCCCTGTCGGTGTAGCCCCACCCCCTGCTCGAGCCAAGCCCTGCCCCCTGCTCTGAGTGGCCAGAGGTGTACTGTTGCTAGGCAACATCCTGACAGACGGATCTTCAGTTTAGCTCCACCCCTGCCTTCTACCCTGTCTTCTTATTGGCTTAAACAGACTGCTGCTGCCCTGAAGCCCCGCCCCCTTCCTGTTCCCTCCCTCGTATGTCATTGAGGCGGTCCTCTGACATCAAAGCTGTTTTTTATGTTCTTTTTATCCTGATGGAAATAAATCAATAAAAACATGTAAACCCCGCCCACAAGTCTGCCTGATTCTGTTCACTGCAGCTAATCTGAGCGCTCTGCAGCAATGGACAGGGAAGTAAAAGTTTGGGCTCCACACCTGTATGGGTTGTAATTATAGTCACAGTTGATTAACTGTGATAAGCTCATGTCTGCAGTGACATCATATGGCTAATGTCACATGACTGTGCTGCGTCACATCTGTCAGTTGTTAAATATCACCTGTACATGTGAGCAGCCCTCAGTGTTTTTACAGACCTCACTGTTTCAGTTCATCATTGCTGCTTCTATTTTTCCTGATCTTTTTATTAAGTTTTTACTGCAACTCAGATACAGCTACACCACCATGGTAACTTATGCTGCACAGCTAGACCTCTATGATAACTGATGCTGTGTAGCTAGATCTCCATGGTAACTGATGCTGCATAGCTAGATCTCCATAGTAACTGATGCTGCCTAGCTAGATCTCCATGGTAACTGATGTTGCGTAGCTAGATCTCCATGGTAACTGATGCTGTGTAGCTAGAGCTCCATGGTAACTGATGCTGCACAGCAAGATTGCCATGGTAACTAACTTACATGCATCACTGATTGATACATCAGCTGACTGATACCCATTGGCTCTGACTGATACATTGTCTGTGCCTGATGGCACAAAGAAAGTCTGGCTTTGACCTGCTTTGTACAAAATCCCTTTTTTTTTCTTTTTTTTCTAGTAATTTGTCTGACTGCACTGACGTCCAAGTTTACTATCTAAAATACCTTTGCGAGCCTATTGCAGCTAATACCAGCTGATTCATGACATGATGACAGAAGGAATCAAACTGAGCCACAGTTTTGATTTCTAGTCTGATGATGCATCATTGCTGGTTCTGTATCAGCGTTACAGGAGGGAGTTCATCAGAACTTGATCAGGATGTTTTTAATGTGTGAACTTTACCTTTCATAAAACATGATAGAACTTGGTAGATTCTCTGTCATCCGGGTCATGTGATCAGAGCTTCAGGAGAACCAAAGAGAGAAGTTCTCCCGTGATGTTCTCCTTCATCTGAATTTATGTGAGGAAACCGATGATAAACCCAGTTTCAGTTCAGATCCAGGACAAACTTTATTGGTACAAAGCACTTTAACAGCCGACAGGCAGAGACCGACACGATGGTTTTGGCACCTGGTATGAAATGGCATTCTGGGTCATTTTTAATGTTTGGGGTGGGGAGGGGGATCACAGGGGAGAAGAGATGGTGATTTACTGAGAGAGGTGACATCAGAGAGGTGTTCAGTGATCAGGGAGATTCTATGAACAAAGCTAACAGGCTAATCAGTAATGCTAATGGCCTAATCAGTATTAGTAGACTAATCAATAATGCCAACAGGCTAATCTGTATCGTTAGAAGGCTAATCAATAATGCTAACAGGCTAATCTGTATTGTTAGTAGGCTAATCATTATTGTTAGCAGGTTAATTAATAATGCTAACAGGTAAATCAGTACAGTTAGTAGGCTAATCAGTAATGCTAACAAGCTAAATAACCATGCTAACTGTGTGGTCAGTTAGCATGCTGTGGTTGCTGCAGAGATAAAGATCTGAGATATTCTGAAACATCTAAAGTTTTACTCTCCAAGTTCAAATGAAGCTCTGACATGTGTTCAGCTCAGCTTAGCTTAGCACAAATCAGCTGGAGAAACACTTTCTGCCAGCTTCACCTCTTGTCATGGAGCGAGGCTGCACCCGGCCTGACAAACCGTGATTGACTGTTCACTTGTACATCATAAAATCTCTCTGATCGTCAGTGACTTCAGGTGAATGTGATGACGAAAAAGGCTGAATGATGAGTTTTTTTTCTTTCTTTGTTCAGGCGGTTTCCTTGGTAACAGGAGGGGGCGGAATCTGCAGGCACAGGGTTATCCAATCACAGGCCTTGTTTGGCGAGGGAGGCAGACACCTGACGGAAGGAAGCAGTTCTTTTTTTAGCGCGAGCTGTGTGTTTCATTTTGTACATTTGTTACAAACAGGTGGGTCTCTTACCTGGTCAGCCAGCGTGTCAAGGGGCGGAGCTTCAGCCGCATTAAGGCTTCCAGGGGAGGAAGTGTTGCTAAGGTGAGGAGGGGAGGAGTCAGCCTGGACAATGATCTCAGCACCGTGGTCGGTTCGAGCTTTGGCGGTCTCTCTAAAACTCAGCTTCTGACTCTCGATCTGCAAACAAACAAACACAAACGTATTAAATCTATAAACGGCTCATGTATGAGTGAAATGATGTAGGTTGTATGTACTCTGTGATCTGTGTTATATGTCGTAAAACACTGAACATGCTTCAGGTCAGACTGAGTTCTAAGTGAACTGTGGAACCTCCGACTGAGTCTAAGTTCCAGAGTTTTATTTCGCTGCCACTGAAACTTTCTCTCTTTCTAAATTCCTTTCAGTTTGTTTAAGAACTTTTGCTGTGATTCGTTATTGTCACGTTTGTTACCTTCTTCTTCCCTCCTCCTGGAACATGAGTGACGTTCTCCAGAGAACCCACTTTAGACTGAACCGCTTTGAAGTCCACCTTCTCCGACTTTATCTCCACTCTCCCCCCACCTGAAGAGCACAGCAAACACTCAGTTTGGCGCCGACACTGCTGTCCTTAACTTCTGTTGATCACATCATCCAATTATTGGTCAGCAGGTGTGTTTATATTGGTCACAGTTCACTGATTGGTCAGGAAGTAATTCTCTGAGGTTCCAACTGTGGATCTGTCAGACGGTAGATTCAGGTTCAAATGGATGTGAGTATTTTTTCACATTGAGCAAGTGTTTGAGTTCTGACTCTGACAAACAGAATGTTACATCCTCTGAGCAGAAACAGAAGTGTTGGCCTGATCAGGTGTGATGGACTGACGTGTTACCTGGTTTGTGGCGGATGTTGTCTTTAGAGCCACACTTTGACGTCACGTTACTGAGATCCAGCTTCTTGTGGACGATGTTAACCTGCAGACAGATGCTTAGCGGTCAGATCTACCTGAGTCGGGCTCTGCTCACAGGCACCGGACAGGTGACTCACCTTGCCTCCTCCAGGGGAGTGCTTCAGGTTCTCCGTGGATCCGACCTTTGACTTCACGTTGCTCAGGTCAGGCATTGGGTGGGAGGGGAGGGGGGGCGTCCGCCCACGAGCAGCACCAGGAGACCGAGGGGGGGTCCGGACCACCGCGACCTGGGGACCAGTTGAACCAGCAAAACCAGTTAGAAACATCACAACAACCTTTAGAGACAAGTATTAACAAGTAACACATTCATGCAACCATCAGAACCAGTGAGAACAATGAACACAGTGACTAACTGCTACCTCTGCCAGCACCGTGTAAACAGGGGACATCAGTTAAACTTTCAGACCACGTGAAACTCTGATCACTGGCAGCACTACTCCAGATTCAGCATAAAACCAGTAACATGCAAACCCTTTAAATCAGAACCAGTAAAACTATGAGAGACTATTATAGTAATCAGGAAATCATTACAGCTGGTTTCATTCATCACTCTGATCTAAAAGGACCGACAGGAAGACAAACCAACAGAAAGACAGAGGGACGACAAACAGGAGGACAGACAGACAGGTGACCATACCTTCTTGATGTCTCTGTTCGGAGTGGACGATCGACTGGCAGGAGAGCGACTTCCTGGACTGTTCACGCCGTCAACTGACTCTGAGATACAAACAGGCAATTGGTTAAACTGGTGTTACTGGTTGAACTGTTGTTACGGCGCCAGTAGTCAGGTGAAATGTAGGGTGAAATAAATGCAGCAAAGTAAAGAGAAATCCTTCAGGACACCTGACAGTCTGCAAGAGAACTGTGACTTGCCAGGAGATTAGTTTTCCAGCCACACAATGAGCCGAAGCAAACATCCAAAGCGTCACAGAAATGGTTTAAAGACAACAAGGTGAATGTTCTGGAATGGCCTAGTCAGAGCTCAGATCTCAATCCAACTGAGAATTTGTGTCTGGGCTTGAAAAGGTCTCTTACTCATGTGTCCTGTGTAACCTGACAGAGTTTGAACAGTTGTACAGGAGAATGAGGGAAACGTTCAGCGTCCAGATGTTCAGGCTGAAACACAGGATCAATGTCATAACGGCAGCAAAAGCTGCATCTATTAAATACTGACTGCACAAAGGTGAGTACCTATACAATCACTTATTTTAGGTTTTTATTTTAATTAATTAAAATTACTTTGTAGAAATCTGTTTTCACTTTGACATGACAGAGTCTCTTTTTTTAAAAAAAAATTTGTGGTCAAAAAAGCCTAATTAAATTGACCATGGTTCAATGTTGAAAAGCAAAATAGAAGAACATTTTTATAGGCACTATACTGATTGAACTGGTGTTACTGGTTGATGGATTGTTGATGGTTGAACTGGTGTAGTTTACCTGTACTCTTGGCTGAGATCATCTTGGCTGCTCTGGCGCCTCCTGCTGTCCTGGAGGCCTGAAACAAGCACAGTTAAAGTCTTTTCAGACATGAGATCTGTTGCTTAATCAGTCTTTGACGGCATTCAGGTGACTTAAATGTTCCTGACGGTTTCATTCAGACACCATGGTTAGGATTAGAGAGAGGCAGTACCATGTTGGTCTTGCAGATTGGATAGAAGATCATTTAGTATGATCAGGAATTAATGAAGTTACTGCTGTTGCTAGAGATGCTCTATGGATCCTGCTTCTGTCTGATGCTGCAGGTATTTAATAAACCCAGAAGAAAACTCCTACAAATAGCTGGAAGCAACAGACTGAACTTTAGCTTCTGGTCATGTTTTGAAGTCTGTGTGTCACAAACATGAAAAACAAACCTCCATGAGCGTGTCTGTGTGTTACTGTGACTGCAGGCAGTTCAGACTTACTCCAGTCAGTCTGAAAAGTCAGACTTTGTTATTTGGTCCAAACTTGTTAGATTGTGACATTTACAGAAAGCTAAGCAGGAGCTCATTCAGACGAGATTCAGACAGAAAGAACTGCAGGTCTGAACGAGGTGTCAGGAACAGCAAACGGTGAAAACAGGTGAGGACAGACTCAACTGATCTCCCAGAGGAAATAAATCAGTAAATAGATTTTACCTTCATGGTTTCATCAGCAGGATCCTTTCCAGCTGATTTTCCTGTTGGAGGAGGAACATGAAGAACTGATGACAACAGAGTTCAGTGAAGATGATTCTCCATGACTGTCAGCTGTATGAAACATGTTACTGAGCATTAGCAATAATCAATACTCACAGGTGAGTATTACTGTTAATACTCACAAGTTAGTATTGCTAATAATTAATAATCCCATGTTAGTGAGTATTACTACAAATCAATAATCATGTTAGTATTACCAATAATACTCACATGTTGGTATTGCTAATAATTAATAATCACGCATTACTGAGTATTACTAATAACCAACATCACATTTTGGTAAATATTACTAATAATTAATATCACATATCAATGAGTATTACTAATAATCACTTACCACATTGGTGAGTGTTACTAATTATTAGTAATCACGTTTGTGAGTATTACTAATAATCAGTTATTGCATGTCAGTGAGAATTATTAATAATCAATAACCACTTTAGTCAGTATTAATAATTACTAATTAACAATTACATGTCGGTATTACTAATAACCAATAATTGCATGTTAGGGGAGTTTTACCAATACTCAGCTATAGCGTGTCACTGAGTATTAATGATAAGTAATTACTACTTTAGTGAGTATTCATAATTAATAGCTACATGTTAGGATTACTAATAATCAATAATCACATGTTAGGGGAGTTTTATTAATAATCAGTTATTGCATGTCAGTGAGAATTATTAATAATCAATAATCATTTTAGTGAGTATTAATAATTAATAATTACATGTTGATCTCACAAATAATCACTTTAGTAAGTATTACTTATAATCAATAACTGAATATCAGTGATTATTACTAATAATCAATTACCATTTGAATGAGTATTAATAATTAATAATTACATGTTGGTGAGTATTACTAATAATCAATAATCAGCTGTTAGTGAATGTTACTAATAATTAATACTATGGCAGCAAGCAGAGGTCAAAGGTCGGGGGAGGGTGGGGATGGGGTCAGTGAGGTCATCTCTATGGCAACCGAGTCAATCAGGAAGTGTCCGTCTGTGTCACTTTCAGTATGAAACACGAAAACATACAGAACGTCTCCGAAACATTTATTAAAACTTTTTGTAACGTCCAGAAACATGACACAGAGGAGAGGAGGGGAGGGGGGGTGAGGGGGAGAAGGAGTTTGGACGAGGAGGTGAGGAGAGGAGGAGGGAGCGTGAGGCGGGAGGGGGGTGAGGAGGACAGACCTTTCCTCAGTGGAGGAGGAGCGCCTGTTTTCCGGACTGCAGCAGCCTGTTTAGAGGAGGAGGAGGAGGTGCTGGTTTTCCTCTTCGGGGAAGCTCCTGCCGGTGGAGCTTTGGCTGTGGATGGAGGTGCAGCTGCAGGAGTCAAAGACTTGTCTCTCTGTTTGCTGAGGAGGCCGTTGCTCAGAGGAGCGCTCGGTTCGTCAGCAAGGGCCTTCAGGTCTGCTGAAGGCGGAGTTTGGTGGATCGGTGTGTTTGTTTCCCCCTCCTGGACGTCCAGCTCCTCTTCAGCAGGAGGCTCAGTAAGGTTGGGAGCACTCGTTTTACTGTCAGGGGCCTCCTGGGGCGGGTGGAGCTCCTCGGACTCATCCCCTCTGTCCACCACAGCTTCTTTCTCCTCTTCATCAGCTCCGGCTTCACCTGGAGGAGGTGTGGAGGAGGAGCTGGGAGTCTTTGTCTGATGCACCTCCTCTTCTGTCATCACACCTTCCCTCCCCTCCGTCAACACCTCTGTCTCCTCCTTCATCTGTTCCTCTCCTCTGACTCCAGCTTCCTCTTCCTCATCTCCTTCCTGCTCCTCCTGTGAAGGTGGACTCTCAGATTGAACCTCCTCTTTCTGTTCTTCTCTTTTCACGTTCTCCTCCTTTTCTTCAGCTCCTCTTTCGTCTTCAGGAGGAGGTGTGTAGGAGGAGCATGGACCCTGAAGTTGAACCTTCTCCCTCTCTTTCTCTTCTCCTGGCATCTCCTCCTGATTCTCCATCATAGAGGGCTCATCTTTCTCCTCCTGTTTCTCAATCATAGAGGGCGCCTCTTTCTTCTCTTCCTGTTTCTCCATCATGGAGAGCTCCTCTTTGTCCTCCTCCACCTGTTTCTCCATCATGGAGAGCTCCTCTTTCTCCTCCTCCACTTGTTTCTCCATCGTGGTGGGCTCCTCTTTCTCCTCCACCTGTTTCTCCATCATG